ATATCCCAGACGAATTTAAGCAGGTAAATAAACATACATACATATCTAGATCCAGTTCATTTACAAAAGTAAAAAACTCATTGAAAAAAAGAAGTCAAAAAGTGCCTATTCAAAATGATGTTACTACAGAAATTAAAACAGTTTCAAAAAATTGTGACATTACATTAGTGAAATTAAGAGATATTAATCAACAAATAAATTTTGATTCTAAGGAAACAAATGAAATTAATAATTTAAATAAAATGAGAAATAAATATTTAATAAATTTCAATGAACACTTTGAAGAGACAAATTTTAAAATTCATGTAGACCATTTAGATTGTGATCAACAATCAATAATAAATGAATTAATATGTGAAAACAAATCTGTCTTTGCAAAAGACAAATATGATGTAGGGACAGTGAAGGATTATGAAGCACACATTGATTTATTGGAAGAGAAATATTGCAGCAAAAGGCCATATCGAACCACAGTTGATGATAAAAAGGAGATTGAGAAACAAATTGCGTTGCTACTAGACAAGAATCTAATAGAAGAATCGTATAGTCCTTTTGCAGCCCCAGTTTACATTAGCTTTTAAAAGAGATGAAAATACAAAGTCGAGATTGTGCATTGATTTTAGAGACTTGAATAAAATTGTAGTACCCCAATCACAACCCTTTCCACTTATAGAGGATTTAATGGTAAAGACAAGAAATTGTAAATTTTTCTCAACATTGGACATAAACTCTGCTTTTTGGTCAATTCCTATGCGCATTACAGATAGGCACAAAACTGGATTTGTTACACAAGAAGGACACTTTCAGTGGACTTGTTTACCATTTGGGTTAAAAACATCTCCAGCAATATTCCAAAGAATAATGTGTAACATAATAAGAAAACACAAACTTGCAGATTTTACAGTGAGCTACATAGATGACATACTCATTTTTTCAAAATCATTCCAGGAACATATCAGACATCTAGCACAACTATTTAAAGCAATCAAAAGTGAAGGATTCAGATTAAAATTTGTAAAATGCATGTTTGCAGCTGAATCAGTAAAATACTTGGGTCATGTAATAACAAATAATTGTGTAAAGCCACTGAAAGACAACTTGATTTCAATAAAAAACTTTCCAATACCTAAAACACAGAAAAATGTTAGACAGTTTCTAGGGAAGATAAATTTTTATCATAAATATGTCCCAAAAATAGCAATAAAATTGGAACCTCTGCATAATCTTCTGAGAAAAGGTCAACCATTTAATTGGACTAAGGAATGCCAAAAAACATTTGAAGATTTAAAAAATGTATTGTTAACTCAACCTGTACTAACTATTTTTGATCCAACTCTACCGATACACATATACACTGATGCTAGTTTACTAGGAATAGCAGGGGTGCTAAAACAACCACAGGAAAATAATGAAGAAAAACCAGTGGCCTATTTCTCTAAGAAACTAAATGAAGTACAGAAGAGAAAAAAAGCTATATACCTGGAGTGCCTGGCAATTAAAGAATGTGTTAAATATTGGCAACATTACTTAATAGGTAAGAAATTTATTGTTTTTTCTGACCACAAGCCATTGGAGAATATGAATATAAAGTCTAGAACAGATGAAGAACTAGGTGATTTAACATATTATTTATCGCAATATGATTTTGTGGTGAAATATTGCCCTGGAAAATATAACTTAGAAGCTGACTGCCTTAGCAGAAATCCTGTCTTAGAACCCGATGAAAATATGGAGGAGCAGTTGAAAGTTACAAATTTGATAACTCTTGAAGATATATTGAAAGACCAAGAAAAAAATAAAGATATAAAACATAATAATAAACTAGTAACTAAAAATAATGTTTATTACAAAAAAGTAAGAGGAAAAGAAAAAATCATTCTAACCGAAGATTATACTATACAATTTTTAAAAGATGTGCATAGAAACTTGTGTCATATAGGAATAAAACAAATGCATATGATGATAGGACCATACTATACAGCTAAAAATTTAACCAAAAATATAAAGGAAATATGTCAAAGCTGTGCAGTATGTATTAGAAACAAATCAAGAGGACTAGCAAAATTTGGATTAATGTCACATTTAGGTCCAGCCACAAAACCTTTTGAAATTATTTCCATAGACACAATCGGAGGTTTTGGAGGTTCACGATCTACAAAAAAATATTTACATCTTCTAGTCGATCACTTTACAAGATATGCATATATCCTAACATCGAAAACTCAAACTGCTAATGATTTTATTAAACTTGTGAAAAGCATATCAGAGACAAATCAGATTGGTATGATTCTAACAGACCAATACCCAGGAATAAATTCAAAAAATTTTAAAAATTTTTTAGATGAAAAATTTATACCAATAATCTTCACTGCCACAAATTCACCATTTTCTAACGGCTTGAATGAAAGATTAAATCAGACCCTAATTAATAAAATCAGATGCAAAATTAACGAAAAAGAACAAAAAACTTCTTGGACAACAATAGCACAAGAATGTGTGCGCAAATACAATGAAACAGAACATACTGTCACTGGTTTCGCACCATCATACTTAATGTATGGCAAAAATGTTGCAATGTTGCCAAATGAACTAAAAATATTAACTTCTGAGAAAGATTGGATTCGTAATAGAAATATTGCTTTAGACAGAACGATCAAATCTCATAATTATAATAAACAAATTTATGACAAAAATCGTAAACATTTTGATTTCAAGATAGGTGATTTGGTATATGTGGAAAATGGAAACAAATTAAACAGGAATAAACTTGACGAACTAAAAGTAGGACCATATGAAATTACGGAAAAATTGTCAAATTCAATTTACAGAATAAACCTGAACCGAAGAAAATTAGAGTCTAATCTGTTCCACATATCCAAGCTGACTCCAATCTCAACACCTGAAGATGTAGAACAAGATGAAGAAGACGTAGACGACTACTAAACATTTGAAGGCATGAATATTTTCTCCTCTGGGAAGGGGGGATGTAATGAAATTATAATTTCATCATTCAAATATTGCCGCGCTCTACCGAGCACGTTATCTGGAATATTAGACACAACCACTTCTGTCATCTTTATATTTAAAAAACTTGTCATTTTGTCAGAGATTATTTGTGCTTAGGATAGGAATGTTAAAACATTCATAGTTAGTGACATTAAATGTCGTTTCTTTAATTTCAGGTAAAATTTTGTGTAAATAATGTAAATAGAACATGTTTTAATAAATCTTTAATTTCAGAAACTCAGTTGTGTTACTAATTACCAAAAGGAACCTTATATATATATTATATATATATATATATATATATATATATATATATACAGCTTTATGGAGTTTCTGAACATTTGGAACTAGATTTTATTGTTTCATTGTCCATTTAAATCAACGTTACGGCAGGAAACCCTTGCCTTTGTCAAGATTCTAAAATGTATAAGATTAGGAACAAAAAGTTATTGTAAAATAAATCAAAAAACTTACCAAAACGTAAAACGGGACACCGACATTAATGAGATGACAGGATAAAAATTGATATCTTATATCTCTCGGTTTACTGTCATTAATATATAATTATTTTTATATGGGCGTATCATTGGTGTTTTCGAAAAAGTGGAAATATTTTATAACAATTGCCTTGGACTTAAAATATATAATATGGGGAAATATTCCCCATATCTGGTTAAAGTCGACTGTTGTAACTATACCAAAAAAATTAATTACAAAAACATGCGAAGACTATAAAATAATTAGCCTTATGAGCCACTTACTTAAAACGATTTTATTAAAAGTGATACATAACAGAATATATAAAAAATCTGAAGAACAAGTTTCATGGGCACAATCTATGGACCTATGGACCGATATATGGACCAATGGACCTATAACTTAGGAATACATAACTGAGTGAAAGATATGAAATATATGTATATGTGACCGAACACTTAGCAAAACGTGGAAGTGACTAGATTGCTAGTATATTATATAAGTATTTTAAAGAAAATCCTACTGAACATAGGAAGGTTGATGTATATAGCGATAATTGCGCTGAACAAAACAAAAATTGGACCATTGTATGTCTGTGGCAACAACTAGTTAAAGAAAGTGTATTTGATACAATAGAACATACATTTCTAGTAGTGGGACACACGCATCTTACTTCTGATCGTAACTTCGCAATTATTGAAAAACATAAATGCCGTTATTTAAATCAGGTGTATACTCCTGCTGATTGGTATAAATCAGTCTTAAAATCAAAAAGGAAAAATTATTTTAGTGTTATTGTTCTACAGCAACAAGATATTTTGTCTTTTTAAGGATTTACAGATCCAAAATATTACCAAAAAAACGCAAACAGAAAATAAAAAAAGCTTAATTTCAGTAAAATCTGCACATTTTAAATTTACTCACGAGACTCCCATGTGTTATGTTTTATAAACATCTTTGAAACGAATTATTTAAATCTGTCAATATTGGTAGGAGAGTTGTAAGATCTGCAGTTAAACCTGAATGTAAGAGATTTAATCTTCTTCTTAGCTATATACCCACCTATTTACCAGAATTACTACAGAGAGATTAGTGTTGTTGAAAATGGGAACAGAATATAATGATAATATACATAATGAGACAGAACATTTGGATGATTTTAGCGATCTGGAGGATGAAAATTAAAGTGATTTTAAAACAGTTCTAAGTATAGAATTGCAATTTATGTATTGTGTTTTCATGTTTAGTTTTGTATATAACTTCTAATATAATATAAGATACCTTTTTTAGAACTTGTTGTATTAATAATTTTTTTATAATAAAGGTGCAAGCCACATTTTTTTCCAATTTTTATTGTTTTTTTTTTCTACAAAAACGACTTTTTTAAAATTAGCTTAGCGTTTCAAGGATAGTAGATATACAGTTTTCAAATAACCCAATTTACTGTATTTCTAATCTATATTTGGTATTTCAGGATTTGATTAAAACCTTTATAATTGATTTTCTCAAAAACTTACTTTTGTGGCATGTACCGTTGTTGCTCTAAGGTCTTCAATTCGTTTATATAAAGTGTGACTGGCAATTGGAATATAAATTATATTGATACTAATAATTTTTTTTGGAAAAAAATCTCTTTATATGTATTTAAATATAAATTGAATGAGATAAACATATCATATTTTATATTTAGTCAAATTAATCATATAATATGCTACGCATATATCTGTAAATAAAAATATAATATTAAATATCTTGAAATCAGCTCTAATACAATATAAATTTATCGGCAAAAATCGAAAATAGAAAACACCTACTCTGTGAAAATGAAGAATTGATTCTGTTACTTCAAGAACGATATTTAATATTTTTCTCCAGAGCGATGAACTCGTCGAGACACTTTTTGTACACTCCGATTCAGATTTCATTGATAGACATGAAAATAACTTCTTTTTCAAGGCAAAAATCACATCTATTGACTTTGCCTCTTAGAAAACTGTGATGGCACATTTTTTTAAGATGGCCCATTTGCTGTCAATGAACTCTGAAAATTCACGGAGCGACGGAAATAACCATTTTTCCAAGATGATACTTCGTATCTTCCGCGTTTGCATATACCTCAGTTATCAATTTATTTCTATTTTATTTTTTGTTCGATAAATATTACAGGACTACTTTTTTTCAACAACTTCCTCTTCCGGTTAGAACGCCATGGGACGCTGCTTCGTTAAATCGTTAAACCCGTTGAGATATATTTTGTCTGAAAATAATTTCTTTTCCGTATTTTATGTAAATTTTGAATTTTTTTGACGAAATTCTATCTAAAATGTGTGTTTTTATAAAGCTCCAACGGTGTCTTTCTCCATATTGTAATTTATTACTAAATTTTTTTTATTGACAGTAAGAGATTGGTGTTCGAATTAAACTTAGTTTTCTGAGTTGGATTTTTTATAGGATGATATACAGATACATAATTATCAAAATTTTATGTTACACTCAGGATATTATACATGTACTTAATAAATAGGAAGATATATTATAAACAAGCAGTAGATGTAAGGAGTTTATTGTAAGGAATTATTAACTGCGGCCATCATGGACAGTGATTACACATCAGTTTTTAGAAAAAATATAACTATTTAACAACTACACGACTACTCAAAGAAAAAAACATATCAGACCAAATTAGAACAAAAAATAGGACAGTAAAGACTATATAGGACTATATGGCACAAATAGGTTAGTCATTGGTGCAGAGTACTTTCCTCCACGGTCATCTGGGTCAGGATAGATTCTGTGATTGTAAATTCTGTATTTGTGGTGACGACAACCTACCTGATACATCCTGGAATAATCTTAATAATGGTGTTACAGTTGAGTGTCCGCATCACTCTCCAGCAAATATTATTTGTACTTGCTACAATCTTCAAAATATGTCACAAGTAAATGCTTTGCCTAACCTTAATAATAAATTTTTACATTTAGTTTTCTGCACTCAGAGGGATGCAGTTGTGTCGATTTCAACTGATATTCTATGCTATGAAGCCAATTTAAATTTGTTTCTTAAATATGATGTCTTCTATCATGATTTTAAAAAATGTAATTATCAAGTTTTAAATAAATATTTAGCCTCAATTTCTTGAAACATTTGCCTGTGGGAATCTCCTCCCATACCAGTTTTGCCAGTCTTTTCGTTATGTAGTCTGTGCACGTGGCCTGCCCATCTCAGTCGCTGTGATTTAATTTCTTGTACACTTTCTCTATACTTTCATCAAATTCTTCAAAATCTGTTAGTTCTTAGGTCCGTAGGTGATAGTAAGTTCAAACTGTCTGGCCAAAACATCTAATGACAAGTCATCTTCATCATCAGTAAAATCCTTGATCTTCCAACCATCCTGCGTGTTTGAAGGGATATTTTATTGTATTGCTCGTAACCTCGTCCAGGATTTACTAATCATTAGATGGCGTCAAGAATGTTTAGCTTATGATCGTCTACAAGGGAGAATTTTTTTTATGTTTTTAAAGCAACGTGTGTTTTTAGACTTCCCTATTATTAACAATATTCGCTTCACCGAACCTGTCATATTAGCTGCTACTAAAAGTGTAATGCATTCCTAGAGAGCTTTCCACCAACGCCTTTTCCAATTTAAATTGTAAAGTTCTGTTTGGTGTCATTTTAAAAAACAATCCAGTCTCATCAGCATGAAAAGTGTCATCTGACGCATATCGTGCCTTCAGTCCTGGCCCCACTTTTTCTAGCCAATCATCCGTTACGTTTTTGTTAACATCAGCGAGCCTCTCCGCTGATTTACTCGTAGTTGATCTCCGCAGATTCCACTTGCTCAGGCAACCCTCAGATGCCTTTAAATTCTCAATTAAAATGCTCTCAATTGCAAAAAACTCAGCTATTGTCCTGACCACAGGCCCAGAAAGGGAAATATGGTTCATACGCTGCTGCTGGAACCACCGTCTAAATACTAAACTAATATAAATCCATCAGCCCATGGACTAAACTAAAAACTATAAATCTTCATGCTGAGGGTTTCCGCAACTTCCTCCTGACACCGCCCTCCATCTTCGTTCAAGCCACTTTGTTCTGCCCTTCCATATCGTAGCCACAGTTGACTGAGACAGCCCCGTATGGCGGACGACATCGGATTGCTTTTTCACCTTTCTCTATTGTCCCAGTTATCGATAACTTTTCCTCCACCGAGAGCACTTTCGCTTTTTCGAAAACATGTTGACTGTTCTCAAACTGGAAATGAAAGTCATAACAGTTATAATTGTTCGGGGCGGCACCACCCCACCCCCCCCCCCCGAACAATAAAAGCGAGTCACTCAACCCTCAACTCTCTGATACGAATGAGTAGAATGGGTGGCCCGCATTCCATAAGCAAAACAAAACAAAACAACCGCTGGACAATGACCTTGCCACTCATTACCACTCAGGTAGTCTGAACATTAAAGACAATAACACATGTATCATCGACTATTGAATGCTGAAAAGTCATCGCTATAAATAGGAACGATATCGTATAGAGAAAGAATTAATACATGTCCTTATGACGAACCAACCAACGTATACTATTTTTATTGTTATAGAGGAATTATCGTTATATAGGGAATCGTTATAAAGAGAGACTACTGTATTTCCTTTGAAGTTCTTCATTCATGTTGTACCTATTAACGTTTTCTTATTCTCTACGTATTTATTGTGTTGGTTGTAATTTTTAATAGGTAGTTGCAAAGTGTGTTTCATATTCATGCAAGGATAATCTTTAAACGCAAGGACTAAGTATATTAATTCCAACAAGCAAAGATTTCGATTTCAGATAACACAAAAACGTAAATAACGAGTAGTTATTTATGTTTTTGTAAAGAGAAGAGATTTTCTTTTGCCTGTTACTATGTGAATTTTATACAATAATCTCGAAATCAGAACATAGAAAGCATTGTTGACACAGAGCCAAATCAGAAACCGAAATGACTCCGATGGCGCAAGAAAATCGTTAAAAGTAGTGTTTTTGGGCCATTGCGGTATGTTCGAGTGCAGCCACAGCAGCCGGGATGCTACTGTGCTAGAGCCTAGAAATAGGGTCGGTCAATGCACTTTCCAAATTCGAGGGTGAATGTACGTCCGTCCCAGTCTCGGTAAATGCACTGTGAACTTTTAACCTCCTTCAGAGTAGTGATGCAACGTTCAGAATAGTTAGTAACTAAAAGTCAAAATATACTAATCTAATGTTAGAAATCCGAATAATAGGCAACCAAAAAATAGGAATAATTATTAAATCAATCTGAGGAAAGTCGATAAGACAAAAAACAAAATTAAACAGAATCAGATTTTTATCAGGTTTATAAAAAATGGTAGAAATATGCTTTATTGTCACTGAAAATTGTACAATTTTCAGGACAAAGCTTACAAAAAATAAAAAAAATAACAATAACAATTAAAATTTACTAACATTACATAAATCGTTAATATCACAAAATAAATAGGTACTAATAAAATACGCAATCTATTGCAAAATTAAATAAATAAATAAGTTTATTTTTTTATTTACTGTTTGTATTTTGAGAACGATTTCCGAAGTGGAAATTGAAACGTCAATAAACGTATTTTTATCTTAAAAAAAAATAAGTTTAAGTTGCTGCATGTGATACTCAAACATACCTATATAAACATACTTTAGTTAGTTGTACATTTTTTTAAGCCCTTCTCTCTATTCGATTGCCGAATATAGGCCTCCTAATTCTCGCCATTCATCTCTGTTTTTTTTAAGACGTTTTCCACATTACAGTTCTTTTAATATTGTCGCTCCAGCGCATTTGCGGTCTTCCTCATGGTCTTTGGCTGCATATCGCCACCAAATTCTCGATTTCTTTATTTCATGGGCCATCCTTAAGACGTTCGTTATGTCCAGTCCATTTCCACTTGTTTAGCTGCCTGTTGGACAGCATTTTTTTACTGTTGTTCTATTACGAATGTCTTCATTGGTTTTATGGTCTTTAAGTGAGGAACCCAGCATATGTCGTTCCATACTCTATGAGTTTTTTCTTACATTCTCGATGTCTATTTTAGTGATGTCCAGGTTTGAGCTCCATATGTAAGTACAGGTAGAATACAGGAAAACTTTGGATCGCAGTCTTTGAGGTATGTTTTTATTTTTAAGTACCTATGAGAGCTTTCCGAATGCTGCCCATCCCATTTTTTACACGTCTGCTTATTTCAGTAGTCTGATTTTCTTTACTTACCTTGACATTTTGATCCAATAAAATATGTATATTTATCTACGTGTTCTATCTCTGTCCCTTCGATGTTTATCATAGGTTTGTCATCTTTGTTTGGCATTAGTTTAGTTTTGCTGAAATTCATTTTCAGTCCTTTTTTAGGGATTCTGTGTGTAGCTGCTCAATCATCATATTCAGTGCATTCCACGTGACGGCTATTAATGCAGATACGCCATCTGCGTATCTAAGATGTTTCAAGTATCTTCCGTTAATAGAAATTCCCGTATTTTCCCAGTCTATTGACTTAAAGATATCTTCCAGGGCAGCTGTAAATAATTTTGGAGATATTGTGTCTCCTTGTCTTACGTCTCGGTTGATCTTT